TGCAACTTCCAACGAATTTTCGTCAGTCTTGCGGCTTTCTTGTCGAGCCTTCACCTGGGCGAGGTACCCAGCAAACTTTTGAACAGATCTGTTAAGGATTGCCCAACGGTTCTTCAATACCTGCGAAGTACGGCCATCTACGCCGCATGCCATGGACCAGTGTGCGTGTATACTTGTCCAGAACGATTCGCTGGACTGATCAGCCCCTTTCAAAGGATCTTCTGACGTGCACACCCACGAGCGAGCGAGCTGGTCGTCTTCGCCGGCACCACTTTGAACCTTTCCCCATGGTTTGCGAAATAGCAACGACTCTTCCACAGTTTCTATTTTCGTGGATTTAGAAACTCAAGGGCAGCAAAATAGAAATAGCAACTGCCGGTGGGGGTGCAGAGTTTGTAATTTTAGAAATAGCAACTACCGGTCGATCAAAATTGTCGACGAAGTTGCTGCTGGCGGCGTGGTGTCGGACCACCAGAGAAATAATCCATACGCTTTCGATGTCTTGCAAGCGATGTTGTGGTCATCTGAGGCATGGGACGAGGTGACAGCCTCGACAATTCGTAATTGTTGGGCTCATACTGGTATCTTACCTCGTATGTCGCTCATCGGGGCACTTGAAAGCCTTCGAATTGGCTCTGCACTGTCGATTGATGTCTTGATCAGCTAAAGGAGTACATTTGAATTGTCTGCAGAACGTGTTGTACCAAACCTTTGTAAACTTACTCCTTTCATTGTTTATTGATTTCGGTGGTTGCAAAAATGGAGGCATCACTGTATTCCAACAACATTGCATCCAAGCGGGACTGGACACTTGTTAACAAGCAACTTATCGGACCAACGGAACAAGACCGAGCAGGTGCTGCGTCAATGGCAAGTCTACTTGTGCTCAAGTCAAGGCTTAGGGGGATTCATGGTGCTACGTACCGTTCGCAGGACGTCAATAGGCAGCTCTGGGCGAATCAAACCCAAAGTGCTCCAGCTCACCGACATGACGCCATGGTTACCGAGCCACCTCCATCCAACTTGATTCACCTGTTTGCACATGCACCGACCTAGCCAGAAGTTGTGCTGCGTAGTGCTCCACAGGGAATTTGCGTCGCAGGAGGATTGAATCGTAACTTTGCCAGCACTGTCGAAGAAATGGTGGCCTCCATGCGCACATTGAAACGAAAGCACGAGGAGTTGTAAACTCATGTGCTATTTCTTGATGGTCAAATTAGTAATGCACAACGAATGCCGGCTCAACGCTTCTAGGAGGATTTGAAAATGCCCTTGGAACCGAGGAGTCACCATTTGGAACTGCATTATTGCAGGACATGGAGGAGCAAGAAGATGTAGACCACAACTAAATTTCATTAAAATTGATTGAAAAACATAGAATCCCATGATTTGAACATCTTGTTGCATTGCATTCCAGCATTGAAAATTCCATGGCCTGTGTATCCACACCTGCGAAATACCGAACGAAAGTCACACACCGAGTACAGATTCAGGACCTCTGCAATCAGTAATTCAATATTTTCCCCCCATTTTCCGCGTAAGCCCGCTTGAACTTCTTCTTCGCAAGTCCGAAGAGTATTTCGATAGGATTAAAGAATGGACTGTACGCAGATAAAAATAGCGGCACATTTCCTAACAAATCAACCCGATGTATTAGTTTCAATGCTGCTTTCAGGGAAATGTACCCAACGTACGTAAATAGTACACAATTCGATCATTGCAATGAATCTTCGCGCCATCCATAATCCAGACGGAGTTCGGCCTAGGATGTTGGGAACAACTGCCACTAGTGGCGAACGCGCGAAGGCAGTCAACAAACCATGACCGATTAATCGTGCCAACAATCGAAAACGTATCTAGCAAGCCTCCCACCACCAAAAAGCACAGTAGTGATACACGCGGCTTGCGGCAAAATTCGCCCCTGAAAACAAGTTTCTGCCATTTGATGCAGTAATCACCACGACACAACATATCCCGATTGTCAAAACAAACTTGGTCTAGGAATACGAGGTTTTGCAGTAGCCATGGGAGCGATGATAAATCCTTGCAATAGCGCAAGATTTCAGTCGAGCAAATTTGGATTGCTCGCCGCTCCAATACTTTCCACGATAGACCGGCGTCTCGCAAAATGGCCCAAACGGATGACGTGCTTATGGTGACGGCAAAGTGATGGAAGAACCGGTTGGCAGCTTCGTCCAGCTAGAGCAATGGTTCGTTTCGTAGAGTGTCAGCAACCATGTCCGTTTATGGATGTCGAGCTTTCGAAAGGCTCGTTGCGCACTGTTGGTACGTGCGACTGTACCAGTGGCCTCAAACTGGTTGATCCATGCAGCGACGGTTGACTTTTGCTTGGCATAAAATGTTGCCAAGTACGCCTTGGACAGACCAATCATGAAGTAGCCGTAAAGGCAATGTAGCATTGTGTTCTCTGACGCATGGTCTCGGCCAACAGCACAAATCAGCCTCGGGACGGCAGCGTCCGACATCGTGAGAAGTATGCAACGCGATGTGATTGGCTACGTCGATAGTTTGAGTTGCTTACAACAATGAAGTGAAAAGTCCAGTTTTCGCCAAAACCGACAATATCTCGCTCGAAAACACTACTTCCTTTGTTTCAAATTACTGGTGACATAAGAAAATCGTGGTTTTTCCGAAATACTTGTGACATTTCTCGACCATTGGATGAAAATCAAACACATGCATATAATGGTTAAAGTCCTCACTGGTTTATATATCTAAAACCTATTCAAGAAGGTGCGAAGGGCAGGACAGGTTGGTCATCAGAGCACCGACGCGTCGCATTGTATTTTTGTGGAGGTGAGGAAGGCGGAAACGGTTGTCGCCTTGGTGTTCGAGCACAAGCCGCATGACGGCCTGCAAGGTCAGGAACACATTCTCAAGCTCAATGGTTCAAAAGCCTCCAAGGTAGAACGATCAACATCGACAATGGAATGGCTCACCACCTTGTATTGTAGCGCTTGAATTGAAGCAAAGAAACCCAGGTCCAGGACATTGAGGTCTGGGCTGTTGGGTGGTTAGCGCCGGAGGACAAATGTCCATCCGTCAAGAGACACGGCCGCGAGGACAGCTTCTGTGGTTACACGGTGCGACGAAGCGTTATCATGCTGCAGCACGACGCGCTTGTTCGCGCTTGGGAATGCAGCCATGATCGCAGGAATAACCCTCGTAACAACATATTCCAAATATACCCCACCACTCACACTCACGAGTGTAGGCATGGTGGCACCAGCTGGACGATTGAGCGAGTTGCGGACAGCAGGTCGATTCTCAACAAAAGGCCGCATGCCGATCTTTCCAGTGAACATGGCGCCACGGGCCTCATCGAATCTTGGACGTGCCACGGCGGCCAAAAACATCAATTTGGGGATAAACCATTTGCTTTTGACAGCGCGGCGCCCGATCGTCTGGCCCTTCACAAGGTACACCTTACGTCGGTCCTTGTCGGCGTTAAACCACTTTTCGTCGAGGTGAACTATGTCCCACATGTCGTCAAACTCGAAGTGCCGCTGGCCAATGTCATCGCCAATGCCGGCGGCGCGCAGCGTCGGACGTGCAAGCGACAGAATTCGACGCGTGCGAGCATGTTCGCCACCGTGAGCAGAGGCTTGAGTCGAGATGAACGCCGTTGCAGGGTTCCGTTGCGAAAGCTGCGGTACACGGCAGACACCGACCGTCCGGTGGCCTCGGCGATATCACGCATGGTTGAGCGTTGCTCCTCGGGTACGTCGCTGATGAGGTTGGTTATCTCGTCATCCGTGTGGGTTGGTTTGCGTCCAACATGACCAGGCTTCGCTGATGGCATGTGGCTGTTTCGCACGAATTGGTTCCATACAGGAGTCACGGTGACGCGGTCTATGTTCATGCGTCGAGCTGTAGCCAAGATGGCACCACACACCACCTTTCCGCCAGACATGGACTGATGGAGCTGTGCGACGACCTCCAACTTCTCCTCGTAGGAGAGCTTACGTGTTTTGCGCGCAGTGTTCATGGTGTCGATTTACCCAGGTCCCGTAATTTTAAAGTCAAATAATGATTTCGTATTTTTATTCCGAAGCGGTTTGAGCAATCCAAATTTAGGGCGCCAAAACTTCGTTTCCTTCATTTGCAGTCAATAGAGACCCCCCCCTAACTTTTCATTATCTTTCAAACGTGATTGATCTTGTCGAATTTGGTGGAGAATTGATATTTCGGGGTCGCTGAAATGAGAAATGTCACCAGTAATCTGAAACACAGGAAGTAAATAAGAAAAAGGCGACTTCGATTAGTGTTTTCGAGCGAGAGATAACCGTTCGAAATATATTGTCAGGATAGCAAATTCCATCGAAATGGAAGCCGTAAAGTCGACCGTGACTGCGTTCGGGACTGTGCGAGTCCTTGTGCAGGAAGTAGGGACAGATGAGATGGCTCAACTAACCCGTTGCCTCAAGGAACTCGGGCATGTGGATGACGACCACGTAGATGGACTTGGCATTGGGTGGTATGTGTGGCTGCATCTGCCCAAATCCCTGGATTAGCAACTAATCCACAAGGCTCAACATTAGAAAGGTTTTGCAAGTCATCCTTACATTATCATTGTCACCACATAGTTGACAAATTCAGCGCTCAGGGTAATGATAGGAACTTTAAGTTTTGAGATTTGCACTTCACCACCATCCATATCTTTATAAAATTCATGCGGATGAGCTCATTGTGCTTTCGTCAACCGTGGCGCCACACGAAGACCCCAATGACATTGACGCAAGACGAGCTCATTTCGTTGTTTCCACTGGCTCGGACTCCACGTCAGCGTAAAGCACTAATGGCATTGGTTGCGGTGTGTATTGTTGAGCGCCCACTTATTCCAGCTGTCCGGTTTAATCTTGATGCAACAAGCGACGCCAACACGATCCTTGACTTTCGGCTTGATATTGCTGGAATCAAAGAGCTCAGCTACACTCTGGGCCTACCTGCCATCATTGTGACTGAATGTCGCAACCGTGTGCATCGTGAATGAACTTTGTGCATCGTCCTGGGTCGTATGGCCTTTTACGTTCGATTCCACACCATGTCAACCACTTTTGGTCGATCAAAATCTGCACTATGCGACATCTTTATCTAAGTCATCCAAGAGCTATACTGTCGCTGGGGCACCCTCCTCTATTTCAACAAGAAGCTTGTGGCAAAGAACATGGACCGATATTGCGCCGCCGTTGCTGCCAAGAGGTCGCCACTGACAAACGTGTTTGGTTTCATCGACGGAACAAAAGTGCATACCTGTCGAATTTCGTCCACTGGCGATGGCGAAAATTTGCAGAAGCAAATCTACAGCGGCCACAAGCGAATTCATTGTCTCAACTATCAAGCGGTTACTGTCCCTGACGGAATTTGTGGGCATTTTTATGGGCCTGTGGAAGGGCGTCATCATGATGCGACTCTTTTGCGGTTGAGTGGCTTGCTTGAATTCATGAGTCTGCATCCAAGTGTTTTTATTGACAAAGTTTTGTATGGAGATGCTGCGTATGGTATTGCTCTGCATTTGATTTCTGGTTTTAAGGGAAACAATTTGAGTGCTGAAAAAATGGAGTTCAACAAATGGATGAGCAAAGTGAGGCAGTCAGTGGAATGGAACTTTAAGATTTTCAAATCTTTATGGTCTTTTATGACTTTCAAAACATTGGAAAGATTCGCTTGTCCCCGGTTGGAGAAGTAGTCGCTGTGGTTATGCTCCTTACAAATTCTCATTGCTGCCATTTTGGCGGTAACCAAATCAGTGAGTTCTTCAACTTGCAACCGCCAACACTAAGAGAATATCTTGACAGTCTACAAATAATTGACGTATAATGAACTTTGTTATGAGCTCTTAGTTCCTTTCAATTATCATTCTCATCAACAAAGCTAACGAATCCTGCTGCTGGCGAAGTTGCTCTGCCATCAACTGTCGCTCCATTCGTCTTTCTTCGAGCTCGACGCGTCTCTCTTCCATTTCTTTTTGCATTCGTTCCCTTTGAAAATCCAATTCCGCCTTGGCCTGTTCTTGTATCAAAGTAATGACAAGCATAAGTTTACCGCCCGAGGGTACCCCTTCATCTTCATCATTCTTC